GAGATATTTCGTCTTGCCCTCGTTCACTGCCAGACCCATTTGTGTTGCCTCCTTGTCCAGTCTGGAGAAAGCAGAACTAACGGCACGGGTGTTGAGGCCAATGATAGATTAGGAAATCCAGGAAATGGGCGCATTAAATTATTTCGTAATGGGAATGCAGCATCTCCAACGAAAAAGTAAGGAAAAGGTTCCGGTGACACGTCAGACAGTGGCGCAGGTGGTGGCAATGGCAGAGTGTTCTGTATTAATGCGTGGCCAAATGGAGTAAGTCGAAAGATTCCTTCACAAATAATAACAGAAATGCATTATACTAGAATGTTTAATCACATTAAACAATTTAATATACAGTACCTCCATCACTTTGACTTCCATAGCTGCCAATACTAACTGCTGTAAACGTATATTTCGCATCACATGCAGCCATCAAAACGGTGCTAAAGGATTTTTTATAATTGTAAAACATCGAATTGGAATTGGCCGGGCACTTAATAGCATCGTGCTTACCATCAATTGCACCAACACAATTCGGAATGTTCCACATATTACAAAAATCTTTTGCAATGTCCTTGTATTGAGACTCTGTTGGCTCGCTTACATAAACTGAGGAAAGTAGCTGCCAGATTACTTCGCACGTCTCTAATATAATTTCGCGTAGTGTTGCCTTTCCCAACTTATAGCTCCACCGACACGCCTTGTGACAAATAGCTAACAATTGTAAGAAAAGTACATATGTATATACATGCATACGTATATTAATTTGCAAAGCACAACAAATCAACTTACAGTAATACCAACGAGAGCCTTTCCTCGGGTAAAATCCGCTGCCTTGGTTTTTTTTGAAATATTTCCATATCAACTTTAGAAGCAAATTATATACGTCCGGCGGCATCCTTGTATGCAAAAAAAGTTGTTCTGGTTCGCTGTTTTTCATTACCAGAAAAGTTTTTATTTGGTAACCACGAACGCCCCAGTTTCTATTTATTGGGCGAATTTTGTACCTCCTCCTTTGTTTTTTGTTTTTATACTTTTTATATAAACTATATAAAGAGAACAATTCGCGCAAATTTAAAATCATTTCACCAGTATTGTCCATTGCTGCTGACACAATTTTTAGAATTGTATGAAATGTCAAACAAAAGAGAACAGCTGATTTCTGCGTTTTTGCCATCTCCACTGTGCACACATTTTGCTCGATAAGGAAGGAAAAAGAAGGAAGGGAGTAGCGTTCTCCAATGTTTCAGCTATTAGAATGTGCGTGGCGAGTTAGTTAATGTTGCGCCACCGAGACGAACAGAACTTGCTGCATGTTGAAAATGGAAATAAACGAGCATTCTCCGACATATGTTTTTGCATTCTGCCGCATTTCCATATTGGCATGTAAAAATAATTATGATATGAGTATAATTTTGTCTGAATGCATGCAAAGTACTATTTAGTCAATTTGGACTTGAATATTTAATAATTTTATTTGATTTCTAATAAATATTTTTGTATTATGTTTCTTAGTAATAGAAATTGAATTTATCATAACAATACACTGTGGCTGATGAATTTTGCTACATTAAGAAACTCAAATTTTTTTTCAGTGTATGGAATTAATTTTTTTTTATTCATGTTAAAGCTCATTAAATTTTATTAAATATAGCTTAATTAGTTTTCAAAATAATGGAGTTGGACTGGATGCAATTCCGTCTCATGGAGTATCTGTGGGCTGGAAGCACTCCATATTCGACAGTTTTGTTAGTTTATGTTGCCGTTTAAATCGAAATGGGCCTCGTCAGGCATGAAAAGACAGTTCAACATGTTTCCATCCTCTCCCACCATTTGAAGCATCTTCTGGCAAAATTAAAAGTCGGCAAGTCTGCAGCGTTCAGTTTGTTGGCCATTTGAATTTTATATGGGAATAAGTCCAAATCTTTGTGCATAATTGACTAATGACTGTCTGCTTACACCCATTTGAGCAGATAAGCTTCTTGTCGAAACACGACAGCAGCTACAGCAGCGATTGTTTCCTCCGTTCGAACTGAAGGGTTTCGATGGTAAGGTCTTCAGTTGACTCCCATGCTGGGCAAAATTGTTTATAAGTCTCATTATGGTCTATCTGCTCGGAGGATTGCCGTCAAACGTGCGCCTATACTCTCTTTGAACCGAAACAACGAACTCCAGTGCGTGATAGCGGCGGACAATCCAAATTTTTGTTTCAGTGTCCCAGTTATCCATTTGTGTTAAATGTAAAAGTCAATCTGCAAAATAAAAAACAAATTAATCAGATCCATTAAACAGAAAAAAAGTTATTTAATTTTTTTTTTTTTGGTAGCGGCTTTCATCAGCCTCCCGTATATAAATACATTGTCTATCATATTAATTTTATTTTCTGCTCATTTGATTGCATGTATACGCATATGCGCGTTCAGAAATTCAAATCATGATTTTATCACTTATCAATATATTACATGTGAGCGCATTAATTTGCATGTTCATACATTCATATATACTTATATGTACATATATTTATATACACTTCCGAACAAATAATGCACAAGCATACAAACATACATATGCGTACACATGTAAGTATGTCACCAAAAAAAAAGTGAAGCATTGTTCTACAGAAATCGCTCAAATAGCTTAAGCATCCCAAGTCAATATGGCAGCCGAATTGCCGAAGCCCAAATGTCGTAAATTTTAAACAAAAACGATTTCATTCATGAACGCAGGCGCAAATTTCACAAGCGACCTCGCTTCACTCATAAAACAGACGCCATAACATTTCCCCGAGCATGCCTTTGTCAACAAGCGTCTTTTCGCGACGATGGCAAAAGCTAAAAATCACAAATTGAATAACTTTCTGATGTTTGTTCTAAGAAAGAAGTGAGAAAAGTGGCAACATAGTTGTTGTCGATTTACAATATTTGTCAATTCAAAAATATTTTTCCATGGCTCGCAAAAATCAGCGTCAATATATATGCAAGCTCATACATATGCATACGTATTTACGCTAGTTTATAGGCGAAGCTGTTACAGCGGCAAGGGAAGCGGTGACAATCGGATATGGACAGATATGGAAATGATAACGAAATAATGCGAATATACATATTTCACGAAGGTCATGACTTTTTTTGAAGAATGAGACTTTTTTTGATATGAGCACATTTAAGTTCATTTGCCATATCTTTATTTTGTAATAGTCGAATTTTTTAAATAGTAGTTTATTGAAAATAATTTTTTATTTTATTTTATAATATAAAATTTTACCATTTTTCGGAAACCAATGGTTCATATAATACAAAATAAGCATGAAAAGGGGCTCAGAGAATGCTTTTTTACATTCTCTGTGTGACTTTGTATATTTTTCTACAAAGCATTTCTCTTCATTTATTCTCGCATAAATTCGTCATTTTACATAAAGCCAGAGAACGTGCTCGATTCTGCTAAAAAGCAGCGCGAATGGCGAATTCCCTACTATAAATCTATCAGCTCCTTGCACCTTCTCTATGCTTTACATTCTCTGGTTGAGTTTTCTATTAGTGGATTTAACCACAAAAATATTATTAGCGAATTTCACCAATATTTAACCTGAAGGGGTTAAATAGCAGAATTGAACATTTTCATTGGTAAATGAGAAAAGTGATGCTAATTTCAATATTTAGAATGTACGCTTACAGATACGCATATTTACAATGCGCAAGCGAATATGGATATAATTTATGGATATTCTCCATATATGTATTTGATAACAAAGCTCATATGTATATATGTATGTATGCAAGTATGTATGTTGACCCTGTTAATGATAAATTCCATTAAATCTGTTGAAATGTATAATAAAGTCATATTTGTATTATTACCTAAATATTTAATTAATATAGGTATGACAAGTTATATGTGCATTTATGTATGAATTTGTTTTTTTTGGTCATTAGAAGTTTTGATAACATCTTTTAACCAAGCCGTCGCACAGATTCAAACAACAAACCGTGAGATGCAGCAAGATATAATATAGGCAGTTAAAAGTGATGAGGGAGAGATATTATTTTTATTTAAGCGTATTACTACTTAGCCGAGATTGACTGTACACATGAATCAGAGGAATATTGAACATTTTCTTTGAAACATTTCTTGAATTGAAAATCAACAAATAAACTATGTTGTTAATTTTATTCTAATATATTTTAATAGTGATATTTGCGGGGTTGTCACTTTTTCCTTCTCATACATTTCAGAAATATATTCAATTTATAGTTTTTGAAGGCAAGGCATGCTCGGGGAGATGTAATGGCGTCTGCTTTTATGAATGAATCGAATATGCTTTTTGAAAGTTCGTTTGCGTTCATGAATAAAAACTTTGTTGTTATGTAATTTACTATAAATTTTAACGTCGTCAATTTGGCTGCCATATTGATTTCTGATGCTATTTCAGACGGTTGCTGTTTTTCTAAACAATATTTGTAATATTTGCAGAAGACATATTTACATGCGTACGCATATATGTATGTAAGTATATATGATGATGTTTAAGAGGATTGTTGTTTTTGTAGAACATTATTTGAAGTTTTCGGGAGAATTAAGAATGCTATTTAGGCAATTCTAAAAAATATGTATTTTACCAGGATATTACTCCTGGGTTTCTCTTTATTTAATATAAAAGTATTATACAATACATCTAACTATATCTAAGGTTTATATTAAACTGAATTGAAGAACACACAGTGGGCGCGATACACTGTATTTATAGCTTTATACTGATGTAGCGGGGCGTTGGTTGTATCTCCCTTTGTTTGATTGTTCACGTTGTATGCGCGTGATACAGAGTTGATACATGTAGGGAAAATTCCCTACACTTAGGGATTTAAGTCGAAAAAAAATGGACGTGGGGAAAAAAGGACAGATTTTTATATATAAGTAAAATGTAGGGATTTTTCGACAAAGCAAAATCGAAATTTCTACGTATTTTTTTTCGGTCAAAATGCAAATAAGTCTTTTTGGCAACTTTTTATCAAGAATATGTTCGAATGGCAGTATTAAATCGGTTTCAACTTCACGTTGCCAAAGGCAGCACTCTGTGTGTTTGTATGGCAGCATGCCGGCGTCGCATATAATTCGTTTGCCGCTTTTAATTTGATTGCTGACATTTTGTGAGGTAAAGCTATTGCTTTTATTGACAAAAACCATTTTTACAGAAATTAGTTCTTCAACAGAATCGGACGAGAGTATTGCAAAGAGCCGCAAATATCGTAAACAAAAGTTTACAAATAAGTGGCTAGGAGACGAAAGATTCAAGGGTTGGTTACAAGCTTTGGCCGCTGAGTCGTTTAAATGCAAATGCGCTGCCTGCAACAAAATTTTAAATTGCGGCAAGTCTGATTTATTGAAACACGCAGAAACAAAAGCACACCAGAAAAATGTAAAAGCCATAAGCAAAACGAGCAAATTGAATACATTTTTTAAGAGAAACGTAAATGCAGAAGGGGATATAGATAAAAAAAATTTGAAATAAGACTCAGCATGTTTTTCGCTGAACACAATTTCGCTTTGACAGTGGTAGATAACGTAATCCCACTTTTGAAAGAAATAGTGCCGGATTCTGAAATTATAAAAAATGTTGATCTTTGGCGGAAAAAGTGCACCAGCATAATAAAAAATGTTTAGCAAAAGAAGAAAAGGACAACTTGGTAAATAAGTTAAAAGTAAACCCGTTATCCGTAATGATCGACGAGAGCACAGATATCGGCCTCAATAAGCATGTGTGCATCCTGGCCAGGTTTTACGACGAAGAAAAGGGACGAGTTGTGGTATAGTTGTTGGATCTACTACTAATAGGAGCTGATTGCACTGCAGATGCTCTGTACAAGACATTTAAGGAATTAATTTTATCCCTAGGAATTCCAT